ACTGGCCAAGTCGCCTCCGATTCCATAGGATCGACATTTTACTCAGGTTCCTTTTTTTTGGAATTAAAAAAAAAGGAAAAAGAAGGAATAGAAGGAAAAGTAAAGGATCAAAAAGTGGCAGAGACAGCGGCACTTCCATGCAGTACTGCGGCTCTACTGCCATTTATTTCAGCTCTGGGTTACCCTGTCTTCCTAGCTTACCACGTCGATCAGCATATCTTTATGATCCAAGCGGTATTATTATACTTGAAGATTCCCATACAACTTTGTTTTCAAGGATTCGGNCCTTTTAATAAAGACGTAAAGTCGAAATTACTGCGAAATTACTAGGGGACCTTGATAGATTTAATGAGTGGTAGGCGTAACACCAGTTTCTGAATAACTCATTTGATAACCCCCTTGAGTACCGAATGGAAGTTTGGAGAGGACTGGATAAGCCCCTAATGGGATCTGAGGAATAAATGGATCAGAGTAGTTCATTTAGCTGATTCGTATACTGTCTCATTGAATGACCGTAGACATCCAAAGGATAATCATTTGTCGGTATAGTTTAGCGACTGCAACAAATATGACCTTGGTTTCAAGTACATGGATCCTGAAAACCTCAATCCTCAGGGTTGTGATTTAGTTTTGTGGCATTAGACAGGACCAAATTATATATCTATATATATAGGTATCAATCTTTTTTATTTGAAGGTATTGGAGCTATCCCAGACTCGACCCTTGTGGCTATGAAGAATCACAAGGATCTCGGTATTCACACGGAATTACTCGGTGGAGGTGTGATGGACTTGGTCAGGACCGGGGTGATTAATAATACCAAGAAGTCAGTAATGCCTGGAAAGGTCAGTGTATGCTGTCTTCATTGAATTTTTCGTTTCTACATTATCATTCCAACTCACTGTCCACATAAGTTCAGATCGTGACGACTTTCGCTTTTGGAACCCAAAAATTCTACCGTTTTCTTGACAACAACCCTATGCTACGTAAGACTTTCTGGTTTTGTTACTCTGCTATCAGTTCTTGGCAATACTCCAATTTTTAGTTCTACGTTGTTTTTTCTAGTCCAGTTCAGATTTTGATTGCTGCAGTTGGACGAATCATTCCGATATAATAAGGGCCAATTCGAAAATGACTTGTATCAATTCCGGAATAGAGATCGACATCACTGGCCAAGTCGCCTCCGATTCCATAGGATCGACATTTTACTCAGGTCTCTTTTTTGGACTAAAAAAAGGAAAAAAAGAAGAAAGGAAAAGGAACCAAAGATATCAAATATTGGCAGGAATAGCGGTGCTCCCATGTATTATAGCATTGCGGCTCAACTGCCATTTGTTTTAACTCTGGGTTACCTTGTTCTCCTAGCTTACCCACGCCGATCAGCATATATTTATGACCTAAGCATTATGTATTTTGAAGGGGGCCATATAGGTCTTTTTCAAGGATTCGGTGGACAAACAGACTTCATGGGCGCTTCATCTACATCATATGATGGTATGGGTAAGGCT